ACACACACCAGGGCTGGGGACCTGGACTGCGGACACACCCAGGGACAGGGCACAGGCTCTGGGGACACACAGGGACAGAGCACCCACACTGGGGACACACAGGGACAGGGCACCCACACTGGGGACACTCATGCAGCACTGTGGGGACACACGTGGGACATGTAGGTGACCAGGGACCAACACCGGGACTGGGACAGGGCACTCACAACAGGACCAGGCACCCACACAGGACACAAGGCCATGCACAAGGGACACGCACCAGGACTGGGCACCCACARCGGGGACAAGCATGGGGCACCAGGGACACACACTGGGGACTGGGSACMCACACTGGGGACACGCACCAGGTGTCCCCMTGGAGGGTTGTCCCCTGGGTGTACCATCCTGCCTGGGGGGACAGTTTGTCCCACCTTAGGACATATGTTTCCCACAGACCTGTGGGGAAACTGAGGCACAGGAGGTGGCAGGAGGCCCTGAGCCGCAAGGACACTCCAATGTCTGTCCCCTTCAGCCTCATGCCTGCCAAGGGACAGGTTTGGGGACAGATCTGGGGATGAGGGAGTTGTCCCTCTGGCTGAGACCATGAAGGGACACACTGGAGGAAGGGGAGTTGTCATGGCTGTGCCCACGGAGAGGCAGATTTGGGGACAGATCTGGGGATGGGAGTGTTGTCACAATGGTTGTGTCTAGGCAGGGACAGTGATTTGGGACAGGGGAGGTGATACTGGGGCTGTGCCCATGGAGGGACAGATTTGGGGACACGGTTAGGGGTGGGTCAGAATTGGCTTGGGGGCCGGACAGAGATGGCCATGGTGACCTCGCAATGCCAGAGGTGGCTTCGGCCACGTGGTGTGGCAGCCCGAGGGGGTCCTGGCGGAGTGGGGTCGGGCATGGGGACAGTCACCCCTGTCCCCACGGTGTGGGACTCACTCCCTGTGAGCCCGCASGGGCAGGAGCCACCCGGCGCCATCTGTGCTTTGCTCGGGTCTCGTGTGGGGCTGGCACAGGGGCAGGGACACGACATGGGGACATGGAGCTGCCATGGGGACATGGAGACAGGGCAGAGATCAGGAAATGGGACGTGGCACAAGGACCTGGGGCTGGGGTGGGAACACAGCACGGGGACAGAGCTGGGTCATGGCATGGGGACAAATATCCAGGGCAGGGACATGGCATGGGGACCTGGAGCGGGGACATGGAGCTGGAGCTAGAAAAGGGGACACGGAGCAGTGATGGGGACACAGAGGTGGGACAGGGCACTGGCACAGGGACACTTGAACCCCCCGAGGAGCTCTGAAGGGGCTCCAGCCATCAGAGCTGTCGGACAGGGGGTGGACACGGCAGGGGGACCGCAGGGGCGGGTGGGTGTCACTCAGGGACACCTTGGGGACGAGATCCTGCACATCCGGGGCCGGGCCCTGCATCTGGGGGGGACAAACGCGCGTCACCCTGTGCAAACACCCCCTGTCCCCACCCACGGGCCCCCTCGGACCGTGTTTAGTCTGAGCAGCAGCAAAGGCGACCTTCGGCTCCGGCGGCACCCACGAGGGTAAACAGAGCATGGGCCC